GCGGGACATATCAAGCAGCCCCGCCCCTTTTTAAAATAGCCAATAGCGTTCATTTAAATCACAGCTTGGGCTAGAGCCCTTCAGAGCCTTTGAGCTCCGTAAAGCCACATTTGACAGGGTATGCCAGCCACAATCTCATCCATATTGCTATAAAATATAGCATTCTGTGTAGAATTCAAATAGCTCCGATACATTTTGTGGTCTGCGCCGACTCGCGCATGTGATCCGCTCCGTGCTATTGTGTCTTTGGACCGGAGCAGAGTGTGTGTGCGGTGCGGTGGTTAGCGTGACACAGCGCAAAACCAGACTTCTTTTTTTCCTCAATGGAAAGCATATTTACACTGTTTGAATCGTTCCCTGTCCCCTATATAGTGCACTGCGTGCCATTCACTGTACAGAAAATACTAATTCTGTGGACAAGTGACCGATTTCAGCTGCGGGTTCAGCATCTATTTTATAGTGTAGGGGGCGGGCGCTTCGGATTCTAGAGAGCATTTGATTGGACAGAAAGTTTGATGAGAAGCTGAAGTACGATGTGACGTCAAAAAAATCGTTGAGCCGTTTTGGCAGAAGTGACGAACTGCAAGCTTTGAATGCTTATATCTTCTAAATGCGAATTGTGTCACTGTTTTGGAGCACACTGCCTTATAGATAACCTAAGACTAACATATTGATACTAACACCCAAAAAACTTACATTTTGATTTCATGGGGACTTTAAGTTATTTGAGTTTACGGTACACACGTGTTACGGTATTTTGCAAGTGATAACATCAAATCTGTTTGCTCAGACAACAAACTGAAAATGTTATTTATTTATTTAAAAATTATGTTTAGAAATTGGGGGTGTTTTACTGTAACAAACTCAAAATGCAAATGCCATGATTGCATTAAAGTTTAACACACACTGTAAATATACATTAAATGCTAAAAAAAAAACACTTATCACATATTAAAGTTTGATTTTTATTAGCTCCAAAATCAAAGAAAATGTAAAAGTATCTTCTACGAACATGTGTGACCTCAACAAGTCTGAATCAACCAAAGTGCTCAAATGAATCAGACTTAAGATTCAACTCTGAACTCACTGTCAGCTGAGAT